CAGGGTCATGATGGGCAAGAACACGGAGTGCAAACAGGGGAAGAGGAAGATGAGAGGAAGGACCGATGTAGTAATCATGGTATGCCAGTCAAAGAAGGTGAAGCCGGTGTGCTTATGCTTACGAAGGAGAAGAGGGGAGCTGAGCGATTCGATCGTGTCTGTTGGGAGAGATGAGGAATAACGTTTTAGTGCGGAACCGATGCCAGGCGCCATGGGTCAAGTCCCCCATTTGCAGGAAATGTGTGATTCTTGGGCTTACGCCACACCGCCAAACTCTTGGGGAACTGGCGGTTGTGCTGGGTTGCTCCCGAGAGCCTCTTGGGCGCCTTTGGGGGGCTTTTTGTGCCCTCTTGGGCGCTTCATGAAGACCTAGGGGGGGGCTCTTGGAGCTTCGTGGAAGGTTCTCACGGGTCTCGGGGGGCCGAGGGCTCGAAATGCAGGCTTGGGTTCCCCTCTGAGGCCCTTCTTGCGGCGGTCTAGGGGCTCTTTTGGGCCATGCTTGAGGCCTCTGAGGTCGTCTGTGGGGCCGTGTGGGGGCTCCCTTTGCCTGTGTAGGGGCCCTCTTGGAGACCTCTGGGGCTGTCTGGGGGGATCGTGGGAGCCTCTTGGGGCGTCGTGGATCGTCGGGACACCGAAAAGGCGAGACTGCGAATTTCTTTCAACAACGGATGAAACATCAGTGAATGTTGGCTCGTGGGGCCTTCTTGGGAGAGCTCTTAGGGCGTGTTGAGGGCGTCTTGGGTCGTCTGGGGGTCCTGGAGGAGCCGTCGGCGACGGGGGACCCTCTTGGATAGTCTTGGGGGCCTCGTCGGGGCTTACGGGCCATGATGCCGTGGGGCCAGGCACGGTGGATCCGGGCGGACCTCCCCTCCAAGTCGACCGGGCCAAGGTCTGGGTGGAGGGGTCGGGGGAGGGGTAAGCATCTCACACGCTGAGGACAACCCAAGGGGTCGGTTGATGTGCCGCCACGTGCGCATGGCACTGTTTCTTCATTGACAGGGATAGTGGGCTGTACGCACGGGGTAATATGATGCCCCCTGCTGCCGTGCAGCAGACCAATGCACAGTGAGGGCGGGACGCCCCAAGATGATCATGGTTATGTCGCGAAGTGAACTTCGTCTTGTAACGTCTTGTACTTGTTGTGATGACTGGGATGGTTGGGAGGGTTGTTTTTGCTTCGGGTCGGCCGTCGGTCGAGGGGGTGGGTGTCTATGAATACGGAGCAGGGGTATACCACTTTCCGCAGGAGAAGAAGGGGTTTGGACGAGAGGCTCCACTAACCAACCGACGCCCAGAGTGCTGGTGAGATGTTGTTTGCGGGCGTTGTGATTCGATTCGTCTAGGCCGCGAGATGGCCTTCGTCGCAGGATCTACACTCGTCTCGAAAGCTTTGTCGGGATGTTGCTCAGGAGAAGCTTGTCGGGGAGGTGGTTGATGGGGACAGGAGGTGGGAATAATCTGATGGGACGAGAGCGAAGTGCCCGTGGACTAGTCTTCAGGCCATGTCTATTATAATAGGAACGGTACTTCTCTTTGAAGTGCGCGTAGGGCAGCAACACATCACTTCCTCCGGCGCACTGGTTGATTCCTGGTCCATCTTTGGAGGGTCGAGTGCCGTCTCGACACCATTTTGGCTCGTCGTTGGGATACCCTGGGCCAGGTCGGTGCTGTCCTGGACTGTGGTGGCGCTCTGTTTGGGCCGCTCTGGTGCGCGAGAGAAGGAGCAGGGAAACGTGCGAGAACCCACGTGTACTCCGGATTCCATAACAAAGTGGGGGGGTCACATTCGGGGGGGGGTCTAATTTGAGCTGTCTTGGAGGGTTCGGGGGGGTCTGGGCAAAGGGCCGCCCTTTGATGGATAGTCTGGGGGGTCTAAAATTTCTCGTCTTGGAGGGTTGTGACCCCCTCCCTTTTATTACGAAATCTGGAGTACATTCCCTGGGCATCTGTCGAACCACGTTTTGGACCCGTCGTGCGTCGCGTGGTCCTCGGAGCGAATTGTGGGGCGTGTTGGGGCACTCTTGGAGAGTCTGCCGCGTGCTCGCCAACAATGCCCCCCCCAGGGCCCACGGCAGTCGCGGCACAGCCCGCCTCGGCAGCAGTTCTTTCTGCGGTTGGCATTTCCAATGTTCGCCCTGCACGCGCATGGGGAACTGGCGAGAGCCCACGTGTATTAACGGCGGATGTTTGTTCAAATTCCAGAAGAACGATTCTCGACTAGCATTCGGCACATCCCGCCACCCGCGCCAGGGCTGCGGGTCGGAGGTCACGCGGGTGGCGGACAGGGTCTCGAGGGAGGCGTATCGGGGGCATGTTGGAAACAGTTTTTGAACCTCACGGGGGCCTCCTGGGGCCGAGGAGCTTTTTTGGGGCCTCGCGGAGTTCCTTGGGAGCTCGCTGGGGACTTTTTGGGACAACTCGGCGGCGGTGGGGGGTAGAAGGCTTGAAATGTCCGTGTGGGTTCCCCTCTGGACCGCCTCTTGGGGCTGTCGCGGGGCCCTCTGCGCCCTCGTGGGTTTGTTTTGGGCAGTCATGGGGCTTCCTTGGTCGTCTGAGAGCCCTCTTGGAGGCCTCTGGGGCCGTCTCGGGGTGACCCATGGGGCTTCTTAGGATGTCTTGAACGTTGTGATCGCAGGAGAGGCGCATGTGCTAAACATGCAGGTTTTTCCGCGGAAGCGGGGCGAGTTTTGCTTCAGAGGGCCTCTCGGTATCCTCTTTGCCAGTTTTCTGACCCAGTGTCCCCCCGTTTGGATCGTCGGAGAGCCTTCTGAGGGGCCTCTTGGGCCGTCTTGAGGCGGCCCAGGATGCTTCTTGGGTTGTTTCGGATGTTGTGATCTCAGGAGAGGCGAATGTGCAAAACATGCAGTTTTTCCAGAAAGGTAATGGTGCAACTTTTGACCTTTGGGGCCGTGTTGGGACGCCTATTGAGGGCTTCTTGGGGCGTCGTGGGGACCTCTTGGGCCGTCTGAAAGCCAGCGTGGCCGTTTTCGATAGTTTTTTTCGGCGGCTCGTGGCCCTCTTGGACCGTCCAGAGGGCCTCTTGGTGCCCTCTTGGGTTGTTTTGGGGCCCTCTGTCTCCCCGTTTGTGTCGTCTGAAGCCCCCTGGGGGGCCTCGTGGGCCGTCTTGGGGCGATCCAGGAGGCTTCTTGGGCTGTCTTGGATGCTGTAGTCGCCGCAGGAAATGCGAACGTGCAACACATACAGTTTTCCAGTTGACATGGTGCACTTTTTGCTCTTTCGGGCCGTCTTGGGACGCCTCATGGCGCTTCGTGGGGCTTCTTGGGGCGTTTTTGGGGGCTTTCAGGCCGTTTGGGCGCCAGCGTGGGCGTTTTCGATGGATCTTTCGGCGGCTCGTGGCCCTCTTGGACCGTCCAGAGGGCCTCTTGGTGCCCTCTTGGCCGGTTTTGGGGCCCTGTGTGCCCCCGTTTGGGGCCTCGCAGATCTCCTTGGGAGCTTTGGGGCCTCGCGGAACTTTTCTGGGGCCTCGCGGAGTTCCTTGGGAGCTCCCTGGGGACTTTTTGGGACAACTCGGCGGCGGTGGGGGGTAGAAGGCTTGAAATGTCCGTGTGGGTTCCCCTCTGGACCGCCTGTGGGGGCTGTCGCGGGACCCTCCTGCGCCCTCGTGGGGTCTTTTGAGCGGTTCTGGGTCTTCTTGGGTCGCCTGAGAGCCCTCTTGGAGACGGGGCGACCCGTGAGGCTTCTTGGGTTGTCTTGGGTGTTGTGATCGCAGGAGAGGCCAATGTGCTAAAAATGTAGGTTATCCAACGGAAATTGGCCGAGTTTTGCTATTTGAGTCCGTCTTCGGACGCCTCTTGAGGGTTTCTTGTCGTGGGGGCCTCTTGGGCCGTCTGGAAGCCAGCGTGGGCGTTTTCGATCGATCTTTCGACGGCTCGTGGCCATCTTGGACCGTCCAGGCCTGCTTTGGGGCCCTTTGCCCCCCAGTGGGGCGTTCGCCCCGTCCCTGGGGGATGCCTCCCTCCAAATCGACTGGACCGGGCTCCCAGGGGAGGCGTTTGGGGAGGGGGAAACATCTCACACGCCGATGAACTCTAAGGGGTCGGCGGATTGTCGAATCTTGGACCGACACCAGCCTTCAATATGCGACCGTCAGCGTTGATTCCACCGGATCACACAGATTCGACAGCCCGCGGCGGTTTAGTAGTAGGGCAGAACTGCTTGCGTTCTCGAATGGAGCCAGTACGCACCGCAACATTTTTTCTGGAACCCTACCGCTTAAGCCGCAAGCATGGATACCGCGAGTTTCCACGTTTGGCATTTCGCAGAAGGAGGTAAGGAAGTTTCAGGTTGACCGTTCCTTATGTGATTATTCTTACTGTTACTGATCTGCGTGTTCTTTCTGGACCCATTCGGAACAATTGCAACGGTCCAGTGAGTGCGGAGCAGGAGGTGCAGTCTTTGTTTTGGAAGCTTTCCAGTATTGAGGGTCGAAATTGGAATCATATTCCCTCCCCTCATCCCTCATCCCTTCCTACTTCGCGCGTCAACTGCCATGTTGGCTGAAGCCCAAGGTGACTGCAGCCATTTGTTGCTTACCGGGCATGTCGCTCGGCAGAGCCGTGTGAGCGCGAGCGCTCTCGTACAGAGCCGAATTGCAGGGCAAGAGCGGGTTCCAGCTGGGCTCGCACTTGCGCTCGTTTGGCAGTGAGGAGACACTCGGCAGAGATCTAAGCCACAACGTTCGTCCTTTCCCCCTCCCTTCTCCCCATCTCCTTCTTGCTTGGAAGGGGAAAGGGTGGATGGGTGCCTCCGAAGTAAGGAGAGGAGGAAAAGGAAGATCAGGAAGAGGAGGAGGAGGATGAGGAGGAGGAGGAAGAGAAAGACGAGGAGGAGGAGGAGGAGGAGGAGGAGGAGGAGGAGGAGGAGGAGGAGGAGGACGAGGATGGGGAGGAGGAGGATGGGGAGGAGGAAGAAGAGGAAGAGGAGGATGGGGATGGGGATTTGCGTTCTTCCAGGCGAGGGGGCAACGCCGACCCCGCCGAATGGCGGCGCCGGCCGCCTCCGCACGCCCGGGTCTGCCCGCGCTGCCGCGGCGCATGCAGGCCGTCGACCTCGGAGAAGAGGAGCGCCCCACTGGCCGAGAGACGGAGGCCTGGGCGCAAGCCGAGGCCTTGCCAGTCCCAGATCTCTGACGATATGCTGCTTTCGATCCTGGCTTTTCTCCTCGAGTTTGGCTTCCAGGGCTCGCCATCGGGCCCTAGGGCCACCAAAGGTGGGGCCGTGGGGAAAACGAGCCTCTGGGGAGGGGATCGGGACCTCTGGGCCGCGGATGTCACCAGGGCGCTTCAGAGAGGGATTCGCCCTCGAGGCATCGGGCGGCGGCAGAAGGTCGGCGGAGGCAGAACGAGGGCGGCTACCGCTGACGCGAGGTCGGCGGAAGCAGAAGCTTGGCATCCCAAGGAGAGAGGTCGGCGCTGGTTCACCCTACGGCTTCTGGAGAGGGTCCGCTGGTGTCCGAAGCCGGGGCCTCTGCGGTGGCGGGCTGTAATCACGGCGGCAGCGTTTTTCCAGCTTCGGTCCTCTGGAGGCCCGTTTCGGGCTCCAGGCCAGCGATCGGCCACTCGCAGGAAGGCTTCTTAGAAGGAGGCCGCTTCTTAGAGGCGCGCGCCTTTCCATACCCCCCTCTGCGCGCCGCCAAAGGGAGAAGAGCTGCCCTGGGACGAAGACGCGGTCCCGTGAAGGGTTCGCCAAAAAGGAGCCGAGTTTCCCGAGGGCACGGGTCCCAGGCCCCGGGCGCCTTCCCCAGGACCAGCTCTACATCCCGAGCCGTTGTTTGACGGTCCAGGGCCCTGGGCGGGCCCCACGGGCCCGAGAGTGAGGAAGAGGAGGAGGAGGAGGAGGAGGAGGAGCAGGAGGAGGAGGAAGAGGAGGAGGAGAATGATGATGATGATGATGATGATGATGATGATGATGATGATGATGATGATGATGATGATGAGGAGGAGGAGGAGGAGGAGGAGGAGGAGGAGATGAAGGAGGAGGAGGAGGAGGAGGAGGAAAAGGAAGAGGAGGAGGAGGAGGATAAGGATAAGGATATTGATGATGATGATGCTGCTACTGCTGCTGCTGATGATGATGAGGAGGAGGAGGAGGAGCAGGATGCTGATGATGATGATGCTGCTGATGATCTTGATGATGCTGCTGATGATGATGATTCTGATGATGATGCTGATGCTGCTGCTGATGATGCTGATCATGCTGCTGCTGATGATGAGGAGGAGGAGGAGGACGCATAACAAGCGGATGATGATGATGATGATGAGGAGGAGGAGGAGAAAGAGGAGGAGGAGGACGCAGAACAAGCGGATGATGGTCATGATGATGATGATGATGATGATGATGATGATGATGATGATGATGATGATGAGGATGATGAGGATGATGATGATGATGAGGATGATGATGATGATGATTATGATGATGATGATGATGGTGATGATGATGATGATGATGATGATGATGATGCTGATGATGATGATGATGATGATGATGATGTGATGATGATGATGATGATGATGATGATGATGATGATGATGATGATGATGATGATGATGATGATGATGATGATGATGATGATGATGATGATGATGATGATGATGATGATGATGATGATGATGATGATGATGATGATGATGATGATGATGATGATGATGATGATGAGGGAGAGGAGGAGGAGGGAGGAGGAGGAGGAGGAGCCGGAGGAGCAGACGGAGGAGGAGGAGGTGGAGGAGGTGGAGGAGGAGGAGGAGGGAAGGAGGAGGAGGAGGAGGAGGAGGAGGAGGAGGAGAGGAGAGAGGAGGAGGAGGAGGAGGAGGAGGAGGAAGAGAGCAGGAGGAGGAGGACGAGGAAGTCGGAGGAGGAGGAGGAGGAGGAGGAGGAGGAGATCTCTCTCCTGCCTCTTTCCCTCCGCTCGCCTGCACGGGTCGGCTCAGGACGGTGGTGCGGCATTGGCGGCGGCGTCTGTGCAGCCAATCGCCAGTTCACGGCGGCCTGGCACCGCGGACGCCCGCAGGAAGGAATTGCAGGCCCGAGGGGAGAAGGGAGGGACGGAGGGAGGGACGGAAGAGAGGGAGCAACATAATAATAATAATATAATAAATAATAATCAATATTATTATTATTGTTATTATTAATAATAATAAGAATAAAAATAAAATGATAAAATAATAGAATGATAATAATATTATAATAATAATAATAATATAATAATAATAAATATAATAATAAATAATAATATAATAAATAATAATATCTATAATAATAATAATAATAATATAATTACTAATAATAATAATAATAATATAAATAATAATATAATTAATAATATAATAATAATAATACTAATACCAATAATAATAATATAACAATAATAATAAATAACAATATAATGAAGGAGGGGAGGAGGGGCGCAGGAGGTTAGGAGGAGGAGGAGGAGGAGGAGGAGAGGAGGAGGAGGGATGAGGAGGACCAAGGAGGAGGAGGAGGAAGAGGAGGTGCAGGAGGAGGAGGAGTAGGAGGAGGAGGAGTAGGAGGAAGATGAGGAGGAGGAGGGGGAGGGGGAGGAAGAGGAGGAGGAGGAGGAGGAGGAGGAGGAGGAGGAGGAGGAGGAGGAGGAGGAGGAGGAGGAATGGGAGGGGTTGGAGGAGGAACAGGATGATCAGGCGAAGAGGGAGAGAAGGAAGAGGAGGAGGAGGAGGAGGAGAAGAAGGAGGAGGTAGACGATGATGATGATGAGGCGGAGAAAGGGGGAGGCAAATATCTGGATGATGATGAGGATGATGCTGCTGCTGTTGCTGCTGCTGTCCCCTCCCCGCTGTGGCGCCCCTCTACCCTCTCCTCTCCTCCCCTCTCCCTTCCTCTCCTCTCCTCTCGTCTCCTCTCCCTCCTCTACTCTCCTCTCCTCTCTCTCCTCTCCTCCCCTCCCCTCCCCTCTCCTCCCCTCCCTACTGCTATTCGTTCGTTCCCTGCCCTCTGCTGTCCTCTCCCCGCCGTGGCGCTCCTCCGCCGGCCGCGCCGCGCCTGGCAGAGGCGGGGCGGGGGTGCTCCACCCGCCGGGATCTGTTGGGCGCTCGCCGCTCCGCCGGCGTCGCCGCCGGCGCCTTTTCTTCCTGATCTCTTGCTGTTGCTGCCGAGCGGGCCCTGCTCTGAGCGGGCCGGGCTTCCGTCTCCTTCCCGCCCGCGCCGGGCTCCTCTTCTCGGGAGCGGAAAAGAGGGGGGTGATGACTAGGAGGGGGTGGATATCATGGCGGGGGCCATGAGATTTCCCCAGATTGTATGGCGCCTCTTCTTATTTCATTACGGCCCTGGCCCCCCCGCTGGGCCGCGCACATGCCGCCGGTCATAATTTGACCCCCCCCCTCTTGGACACCCCCCTCTTGGCCGCTCCCGATCTTCTCTTCCCCCGTGCACCGCGGCTGACTTCGCGTTTTGTGTGTCCCACTAGTGCTGCATCGCCAGAGCAGTCACTCTGCCTGGCCGCCGACGCAGACAAGCTGCTGCTGCTGTTCTCGATTTCTTTTGCCTTTTGCTCTTGCTCGGCGCATCTGGAGCCTTGGCGGGGGCGCAGCAGTGCGCCTGGCAGCGCCTCCTCTGAGGCCATTGGCGCGGTGCGCGTTCGCTGTATTGGTGCGACCCAGCAGAGGGTCTTCCCTGCCGTCAGCAGATCTGGAGGTCTTCGTGCCCTGGACCCGTCGCTTGGCGCGCGCCGGCCAGAAATTTGAGGGGTGCCCGGCCGTGGCGGCGGGAGGGCGCCTCCGCGGGCGCCGCGCAAAGTGCCGATGCCGCCCGAGAGGCATCGATGGGCCGAGCCTGGATCCTCCCCCTCCTCCCCTCCCTCGACGTTGGTGGGGGGGGGGCGAGGGGAAGCAGGGCTCATGTCGACTCTCCTCCGATTCGATTCGATGTCGATGGCTTCCGATTCCCATTCGACCCGGCTTCGGATGCCGATTTGGGCTCCGATTTTTCAATGGAGGGGCCTACGAGCCTGCCGATTTCTGCCAACTCGACTGCTCCCGAATCGGCTGCGGATTTCCGCCGATCCTATTCGTTTCGATCGCCGATCCGATTTGTCGGTTCGATTCTGGGCTTTCATGGGGAAAGGGGGGCGTGTCCGCCGCCTCGGAGTCGTGCCCAGGAGATCTCTAGGGCTTCCCAGGGAGTGGCGGATGTGGGGCCCGCCCCCGGGGAAGGGCGGGCGGGGCTAGGGCGGGGGTGCATCGCTCCAGAGCGTTCCAGGACGCTCCCACGGCGTTCCGGAACGCTGTGAGAAGGCCGCGGCGCCCGAATACGTCGTCCAGTACCGCCGAATTTCATTTTGTGTTATATATATATATATATATATATATATATATATATATCCAAAGCTGTTATATTAAATCTCAAATATCCTCGATTCGTCCTGGTCCGATTTTCTTCTGATCTTGGTTTCGCCCTGGGCGGAGGAGTGCGTCCTCGCCCGCCGCTCCCCCCAGCGATACCTGGTGCCAGCGGGAAGACCTGCAGGCGAGCGGAGGAGTTTTTTTGTTTTTTTTGTTTGCTATCTCTCTCTCTCTCTCCGCCTCCCCCGAGGAGGCGTTGGCCCGTGAGCGGGCCCAGCGCCAGCGCGCCTTGGAGGAGGCGGAGATCCTGCGCGCGCACATGCAGGAAGCGCAGTTGTCGTCGCCGTCTTCTTCGTCGTCTTCTTCTTCTTCTTCTTCTTTGTCTTTCTCATCATCGCCGTCGTCGTCGATGTCACCTTTGTCGATGCCGTCATCTTCGCCGTCGTCGTCGCCGCCGTCTAACTATGTCTTTGTCTTTGTGCTTGTGCATGTCTATGTCTATGTCTATGTCTATGTCAATGTCTATGTCTATGTCTATGTCTATGTCTATGTCTATATCTATGCCAATTTCTATGTCCATGTCTATGTCTATGTCTATGCCAATGTCTATGTCTCTGTCTCTGTCTCTGTCTCTGTCTATGTCTTTGTCTATGTCGTCGTCGTCGTCGTCATTGTCGTCTCCGTCGTCATTTTCGCCGTCCTTCTCGTCCTGCTCGTCGTCGTCGTCGTCGTTCTTTTGTTGTCTGTCATCTCTTCGCGTTTATGAGTCGTTGCCTTTGCCTTTGTCGTCTTCTTCGTCTTCGCTGTCTTCTCCTTCGGGAGGCGGGGTACGGGGACAGGGAGGAGATACGGAACAATGTTTTTGGAGAGCTTAGAAGAGCGGTGCTTCATGGAGGTGCCGTGTCGTGCTGCTATCCGCCTCTTGTCCTGCCAGCAAAGGCTTCTAGGAGGGTTCTGGGAGGTGCTTCCCTTCGTCCTCCTAAGCCGACCTGAGCTTGAGCTGCTGAGGGGCATCACGGCGCGATGAGGGACCCTGGCCTTGGGATTGGCGACCCGACTTTGGAGGCACCTGCAATCCGAGCTGCCCTTTTCCTGCCTCTTCCTCTGCTCCCGCTGCTTCTCCTGCCTTGTCCTTCGTCCTCGCTCCCTCTCACCCTCCCCATCCTCGTCCCCCTCTTGGCACACGCTCGGACGTGTGCATGTTTTTTCTCGGCGAGGACCGTCGAGGGGAATCTGGGACCATCGAGCACAAAAGCACGCACGCAGCCGAAGAGTGCATGGGGAATGGACCTCCGAGCGATGGCGAGCTCTTCCTCCTCCATCCCAGGTCCTTACAGAAAACTCCCCCCTGGCGCACCACCAGACGTGTCCGTAGGGCGGTCTGGGCGTGTCGCCTGAGAGTTCCTCACCAGTTACGATCCTCCTGGAGCTTGGAATTTGCAACAGTGATGCGGATGGAGGCTGCTCATTTTCAACGTGAGGCTTTCGCCTCAACGTTGCGCACATTCGTCTTAGAAGTTTGTAACAACTACACCGGCGGAGGCCAGTCCGTTTTCCAAACGAGACTCTCACTTCAGTGCCGCGCACACTCGTCTCCATCAAATCCAACAGCTACACGGATGGATGCATGTTCATTTTAAAGTTGGGTTTTCGCCCTGGCGCAGCGCACATTCGCTTTAAAAGTTTGCAAGCGCTACGCGCAGCCATCTTAAATGTTTGCAGCAGTTGCACGGATGGATGGAGGTTTGTTCTGTTTTCAACAAGTGTCTCTGCCTTGAGGCTTGAAATCAGATTCTGTAGGCTTACGCCACATCCGCCAACCCCTATATAAACTACTGCGCCTCCAGGACTGAATTTCACGAGGCGTGTCCGAATCATGACACGGCGCTCGACATCGTTCCTGTTATCGTACCTCTTGGTGCTCTTTTGTAGCCTTTTGGTGGCATTTTGGCCTGTATGCAGGCCATCTCCGGCCGCCTCGAGGCATCTTGGGCCAAGTTTTGGGGCCTCTTGGGGGCTTCCGGGGGGCTTCTTGGAGGCCTTTGGGGTTCTGTTGGGGGTCCCTCAGGGCCTCTTGGGGTGTCCTTGGGGCAGGCTGGGGGCGTCTTGGGGCCCAAGGCTCGAAAAGGTGCGTTCTGGACTTCCTCTTGGAAGCGTCTGGGGGCCCTCTTGGGCTGTCTTGGGGGCTTCGTGGGCTGTTTTTTGGACCCTCTTCGACCCCTCTTGGGGGCCCCTTCGGCCGTCCGGGGCGATATTGAAGGTTTCTTTGCCCTTCTTGGTTCAACAAGTGTCTCTGCCTTGAGACTTCAAATCAGATTACCACAATCGTGCGCCGTGCAACTGGTTACACGGATGAAGGGCGGTGCATTTTCCAAGTGGGGCTTTCAGGTCAAGGGCCAACAGTTCGAATCTATGTATCAGCCTCACGGATGGAGAGCGGCTTTTCCGCGCTTCTGATACTTCTTTTGGCGCTCGCAGGATACTTCCCCAATCTTCAGGACCAGAGTTGTAATTTTCTGATTCGCGGGAGGAACAACCACCCAGACCGGATAATTGGCGTTTACTAAGCGGCTTTGGTCGTTTACCAAACAGCCCTGCTCTGATCGCTTCCTTTTTTGGGTGCGTGTGCCAAGCGGCTTTGCGTGTCGGGGTGATTGTTATGGGGGTGGATTTCCTGCTCTCTCATGATGTGCGCGGATGGGGGGGCGGTGGTTCGGGCTCTCGCTGCACACCTCGTTGAAGTTTCTGGACCTGCGCGGTCGCATTCTTCATAATTTCCGAGGGGGCTGCAAGACGGCTCATTTGCAGTGCAGAGCTCTCGCCTGAACTGCGGGCCCATGGGGCGCCCGTCTCTCAAGGGGCGCTCTGCGCAGTGGAAGAGAATGCCTGTAGGGACTAATCGGGGAGGGGACCTGGGACGGGAGAGTGTATCGCAGCATCGTCGATGCATCTTGGGTTTACCTTGGTCCTCGTCCTCCTCCTCCTCCTCCTTCTCCTCTCTTCTGCCCCCCCTTCACTCTGGCAATTATCTTCTCTTCCCCTTCCTCCGCCTCCTCGTCCTCCTCCTCCTCCTCCTCCCTCTCTTTCCCTTCCTCCCTCCTTCCTCTATTTCTATTTCTTTTTCTCCTCTCTCCTCCTCCTCCTCCTCCTTCTCCTCCTCCTCCTCCTCCTCCTCCTCCTCCTCTTCCTCTCCTCCTTCTCTCTTCTTCCTCCTCTCCTCGTCCTCTCCTCCTCCTCCTCTCCTCCTCCTCCTCCTCCTCCTCCTCCTCCTCCTCCTCCTCTCTTGCCCTCTCTCCCACCCCTCTCCCCGTCCAGCTGGAGCCTTTTTTCGGATCTCCGAGCTCCGAGCTCCGAGTTTCCCCCCCCGCCTCCCCGCCCCGCACCCCCCGCCTCGCCTCTGCGGCAGGAGCTGGAGTCCGAGAAGGAGGTGACCATGAGGGCTCTCCGCGAGAGGACCGAACAGCAGAAGCGGGTGGCCAGCGGCCTTCGGATTCTGCAATGATGATGACGATGTTGCCGATGATGACGGCAATGATGACGATGACGGTGATGCTGGTATTGCTGAAGGTGCTGCCGATGATGACGATGATGGTGATGGTGGTGATGATGATGATGCTGATGCTGACGATGATGATGGTGCTGCTGCTGATGACGATGATGATGCTGATGATGATGCTGATGCTGTTGATGATGATTCTGATGAGGATGCGGCTGATAATTAGGATGTTGCTGATGCTGATGCTGATGTGGATGCCGATACTCATGATGACGATAACGATGAGGATGACGATGACGATGATGCTGCCGCTGCTGCTGCTGCTGCTGATGATGATGATGATGATGATGATGATGATGATGTTGATGACAATGCAGGTGCACACGACGATGATCAGGCTCACGACTATGTTGTTTGTGATGCTGCTGCTGATGGTGATGCTGATGATGATGCTGATGCTGGAAGTGATGACGACGATGATGATGCTGCGGATGATGATGCTGATGCTGATGATGCTGATGATGCTGGCACTGCTGCTGTTGACGACACTGATGCTAATGATAATGCGGCTGATGCTGATGATGGTGGTGATGACGATGACCATACGGGTGGAGATGCTGCCGACGATGATGCTGATGATGCTGATTCTGATGATGATGATGACGTCCATGATGATTATGATGTTGCTGCTGATAATGATATTGCTGCTGATGATGATGGTTGGCGCTGATGATGGGGCTGCTGCTGATGACGATGTTGCTGCTGGTCGTGACGACGATGGTTATAGGATGGCGATGGGATGCTGCTGCTGGTGGTGATCATGATGATGCTGATTCTGATTCTGATGATGATGATGATGATGACGATGATGATGCTGCTGATGATGAGGATGATGATGCTGATTCTGATTATGATGATGCTGCTGATGAAGATGAAGCTGATGCTGCTGATGATGATGGTGATGCTGCTGATGATGATGATGATGATGATGATGATGATGATGATGATGATGGTGGTGCGGAGGAGGAGACGGAGGCGGAGGAGGATGAGTAGGGTGAAGAGGAGGAGGAGGACCCTTGGTAAGGGTGTCGACTAGGACACGGGTAAAGTATCACCGTCTCCGTGCCCTAACAGTTGGGAACAATTCGACGCCACACCCACCGACAGGCGAAACCAAGGTAGGAAGATTCCTGCTCCGCCAGGTGGAAGCAGCACCCATCGACAGGCGAGAGGAAGCCAGGTGGAAGCCACACCCACCCACAGGCGAGACCGTTGTTTTTCACGATGCGAGCAGGTGGAAGCCGCACCCACGGACAGGCGAAATGACAGCAGGTTGAAGCCACGCCCACCGACAGGCCCGGTGGAGCACCCAGGTAGGGCCTGCGGCTCGCCTATCCTGACGGGTGGTCAGCAGTAGCAGTTCATTGAGGTGGTTGAGCCTCGGTATGAGCAACCACCTCGTGCTGGTGGGGGGCGGGTGCAGGTGGACGCCGCACCCACCGACAGGCGAAAGGAAGAGCAGGTGGAAGCCACACCCACCGACAGACGAAGAGACCAGGTGGAAGCCACGTCCACCGACAGACGAAAGGGGACCAGGCGGAAGCCACACCAACCGACAGGCGAATCCCAGGGAAGGGCCGCCTCACGACTGAAGCACGCCGATCCCCCCCCCCAATAGGCGGAAGCCCCGCCCACCGACAGGCGAATTCAGGTGGAAGCCACATCCTCCGACAGCGGAAGGAAGGTGGCCACCCAGGTGGGGCCGGCGGCTCTCCCATCTTGACGGGTGGTCAGCAGTAGCACTTCCTGATGCGGTTGGGCTTTACACTGAGCAGCCACCTCGTGATTGGGCAGGTGGAAGCCGCAGTCAACAACAGGCGAAAACAAGGTAAGAAGATTCCTGCCCCTCTAGGTTGGCCACCACGGTGGGGCCTGCGACTCGCCCATCCTGACGGGTGATCAGCAGTAGCAGTTTATTGAGGTGCTTGGGCCTTGGTCTGAGCAGCCACCTCGTGCTGGGGGGAGGACGTATGGAAACTGCACCCACCGACAGGCAAATGGAACCGCCGTTTTTTTCACGACGCGAGCAGGTGGAAGCCGCACACACCGACAGGCGAAAGAGAACAGAGGAAGCCACACCCACTGACAGGCGAAATTGTCAGTGGAGATGATGCTGATGCTGCTGCTGCTGCTGCTGCTGCTGATGATGATGATGATGATGATGATGATGATGATGATGATGATGATTATGCTGATACCGATGCTGCTGATGATGATGAGGATGCTGCTGCTGCTGATGATGATGGTGACGATGCTGCAGCTGCTGATGATGATGATGCCACTGCTGATTATAATGATGCTGATGATGATGAAGCTGATGATGCTGATGATGCTAATGATGCTGATGGTGCTGATGCTGCTGCTGCTGGTGATTATGATCATGATGCTGATGATGCTGCTGATGATGGTACTAGTGATGATGCTGATGATGATGCTGATGATGTTGAGGATGATGCTGATGCTGCTGCTGCTGCTGATGATGATGATGATGCTGCTGATGATGCTACTTCTGAGGATGATGCGGATTATGGTGATTATGCTGCTGATGATAATGCTGACGGTGATGATGATGATGACGAGGGGGGAGGAATGGGCGCTGAGGGTGGGGAGGAGGAGGAGGAGGAGGAGGAGGAGGAGGAAGAAGAAGAAGAGTGGGCGGGGGAGGAGAAGGGGGTTGATTGCTGGCAGGGCCAGGGGTAGGAGGAAATGGGTGGCGAGGCAGAAGTGACCGCCGCCTGGAGTAGACCAAAGGACAAGCAGTAACATTGAACAGGATGTGTTCAGCCCGCGTTATTTTGACCGTGCTCAGTGCAGTGCGCGTGCTTTGACTGCGTCCGCGTCAAGCAGCCTCTGAGCCTGCTGGCGTGTCGGAGACGCTGCAGTGCTGGGAGCGAGAAGGTAATCGGCCGCGCGCGCCGGGCTTGCCTTGCCGCCGCATCCTCCCCGCCGACCCCTCAGGTCCAGGGTTGTCAGTGTCCAGCGGTTGTGGCAGGACCAGCTCCTCTTCCTGCCCTCCCTCTCCTCCATGTCCCCCCTCTTTCCTTATGGACCACGAGACACACCCCAAGCGGTAGGAGGGACTGGCAGCCAACACGAACGTTGGCGCAAGATGTAATGATTGAGCGGTGCATCAAGCATCGTTTTTCGATCTGTACCTCGAGCAACAGTTGAGAGGGAACACGAATAATATATCCCGCCTCATGTGGCGCATTTCCATGATTGTCCTGTTTGTTATCGTCCGGGAGGGTTCGGGAGGGACGCAAGGACACGGTTGGGAGAGATGATGAGGGGAGTGTATTAATGGGGACGGGAGAATACTGAGGGATAGAGGGGCAGATGAGTGTGGGAGGGAAGGCGGGAGGGAGGGAGGAACGCAGGCGGGAATGGGATGTGGAGGAAGGGGAAGGTAGGGGAGAGGATGGAAGGGGAGAGAGAGACGAGGGGAGGAAGGGATGCAGGAGCGTAGGGAGAGGGGATGGGGAGGGGATGGCAGGGGACAGAAGAATGCGGGCTGCCCCAGTTGGAGCGCGACGCGCGGATGCAGATCTTGATCCACAACACGCGCGAGAAGGAGCACTCCTTCTCTTTCTCCTTCTCTTTGCCTTCCTCCTGCCCTGCTTCTGCTCCTCCCCCTTATCACCCTTTCTGCTCTTCCCCTTCTTCCCTCGTCGTCTTCTTCTCCCCCCTCCTCCTCCTCCTCCCTCCTCCTCCCTCCCTCCCTCTTTCTCCTCCTCCTCCTTTTCCTCTTTCCTCCCTCCCTCCCGCCCTCCTCCTCTCCCTCCTCCTCCTCCTCCTCCTTCTCCTCCGCCTCCTCCTCCTCCTCCTCCTCCCCTTTCTCCTCTCAGGCGATTGCACAGGGCCGCCCAAAGGTCGTAGCAAACTGTCTACTGTTAGGTACAGTGTGAAGAGGTTGAGTTCTGGGGTTGAGCCCAAGAGTTCGGAACCCCATCCCTCCACAACTCCCAGGAGTTACCTCTGTTTCGGTTCTTTCCGCTCCTGGCTGACGCCTTGCCGCCCCCTGTCTGCTGGACAGGGCATTGGTGGCCTGGCTCTCTTTCTCTGGATCGACCTTTGGGTTGATCAATTCGGGTGCCCTGGGTTACCCTGGGGCGCCCTCAATTCGAGCCCCTCCCGTTCCTTTGGGTTCGTCCTCCTTCCTCTTTGCGCTCCTCCTGTCTCTCCACCTCCTGCCCCCGCATCTCCCTTTTCGCCTCCTCCTCCTCCTCCTCTTCGCTCTTCCCTCCTCCTTTTCCTTTTCCCTCTCTCTCTCCACCCTTCTGAATCTCTCCCCCCACTCCCATGCTCCCACCTTCCCCCCTTCCCCTTCCCTTCCCCTTCTCCCTCTCTCCCTCCCTCCTCCGCACCGTCTCCTCCTCCTCCGCCTTCCTTTCCTCCTTCTCCCGGTGCCGTGGTGGGGTGAGGCATTGGGCTGATGGGAACGAGGAGCACGACGATGATGGTGATGATGATGGTGGTGGTTGTGGTAAGAGTGGTGCTGCTGCTGATGAAGGTGATGATGATGCTGCTGATGCTGATGCTGATTATGATGGTGATCATGCTTGTGGTGATGATGCTGATGATGATGACAATGATGGTGATAAGTAGGATGATGCTGATGATTATGATGCTGATGCTGATGCTGATGGTGCTGATGATGTCGTTGGTGGTGATGATGATGACGACGACGATGATGATGTTGATCATGCTGATGATGATTATGATGATGATTATGAGGCTGATGATGATGTTGATGATGATGATGACGATGATGATTATGATGATGCTGCTGCTGCTGATGATGATGATGATGACGATGATGGGGAGGATGGGGAGGAGGAGGAGGGGGAGGAGGAGGACGAATAGGAGGAGGAGGAGGGAGGAGGAGGAGGAGGAGGAGGAGGAGGGGGAGGAGGATGAGGAGGAGGCGGAGGGAAGAGCAGAGCGAATCCAGGACGCGCAGGCGATTTTATTCGATGCAGTCCCCGCTCAGAGTCGCCCCCCTGGAAAAACACGGGGCAGACGGGCGCCTGATGGGCATGCTATAGAAGGCTAGAACTCCGTTTAGAAAATGAGCCGTACTCCGTCCTGCTGGCTGCATACCAAACACATCAATTATCAGTCCAGCGATAGCTGCGTTCTAAACCACTTGCCCCCCCCCCATCCGTATACGTGTTGCGCAATGAGCTAACATCTTGGTCGCACATTCAGGGGAAGTCTCGGTCGCGGGCCCCTTTTTGAAAAAGGGGCGGCACCCCTCTGTGCCGCTATTGAACACGCCTGAGCCGAAGTTGCGCGGCGTTTACGCGAGATCCACATTTCGAGAACGACCTCGCACCCGCCCGTGCAGCGACTGTGCACTTAGCATGTGAATTTGCGCGGCGGCCAGACGCGATCCCTATAGTAAAAGCGAGTAGCCTTACATTGGTTGTTGAGCACCCTTGGTGCACGTGCGTGTCGATTGTCGCACCACAGCAGTTTGAGACGTATGTGCCCACCACCTGCGACCAGGCTTGAGATGTTCAGTTTCATGGTTGTATGTCGTCATTAAGTCCAGGGCGCAGCGCCCAGGTCGCCCCACCGACACGCTTGGCGGTGTGCCGATTTTGAGTCATCGGTCAGGGGGGGGGGGTGGATGAGGATGACGGTACGGGGGAGGATGCGAACGATGATGACAATACGGTCGGGCGACGACAACGATGTTGTAGAGGAGATGTGCGTGGGATGATGATGAGGGGGGCGGGTCGGGAGAGGCGATGGTGGGGTGGCGGGATGAGGCACGGCTTATTCTATGGTCTTCAGCCCGTCCCGCCACCGTGCTTGGATTGTGGGTATGATGCCTATTAGATATTCGTTGGGATCTTGTGGGAGGCCTCTCGGGAGCCTTTTGATGGCAGCTTGGGGGTCTCTTGGGGGCCGTTTGAGGCCTCCTGGGGCCTCTTTCGCGCCTCGTGGGGGCCTCTTCGGGGCCTTTTGGGGCCTCCTGGGCGCCTCTAGGGGGCTCCTGGGGGCCCCTTGGGGGCGGAATGATCGATTTGTTGATTCGTGTTCCCTCTCTTGGGCCCCTGTCGAGGCCGTCTTGGGGCCCTCTTGAGCCCTCTTGGGCGCCTCTTAGGCCGTCTTGGGGCGCTCTTAGGCTGAGGCCTCTTTGGCAGTTTTGGGGTGGCCTTGCGGACCTCTTGGGCCGTCTTGGATCGTCGGAACGCAGGAACATGCGAGAACGCCAACCTCCTTCAGCCACCATGGGAAATGATGCCCCCTTGGGTGGCCCCGTGGAGGCCTCCTGGGCCATCTTGGAGGCCTCTTGAGCCAGCTCGATGCCATCTTGGACGTCTTGGACCGCCCTGGAAGCCTCGTGGGGACCTCTTGGCCTGTCTTCGGGCTCTCCTTGGGCCTGGGCATGTCGTGGCGGGCGTGGGATGATGGTGATGGGGGCGGGTCGGGGGAGGCGATGGTGGTGTGGCGGAGTGAGGCACGACGTATATCGAGTGCGATGCGACGGTCGAGGATTTGACGGAGGATCTAATGTCGTGGTGGCGGTGTTGCCGATGACGATGGTGCTAGTCACGGTGATGGTGGTGTTGAGGGCGTTTCCGATGTTGTGAATGGTGACGATGGTGGGGGAATGACGATGACGAGGATGTGCAGCATGTGGGTGATGACACCCGCCCGCCAAGGAGCACAAAGCTACCTGCGATGAGCTCGCCCGCCGCCTCGTCGAGGCCAAGCGCGAGGCCGAGAAGGCAGCTCTGCTGTCGGACGATGGGCCTCAGCACGGGGCAGATGCAACTCTGTGCGGCGAGATGCCCCATTCCCCAACCCCCTCCTGCTTAGGAGGAGGAGGAGGAGGAGGAGGAGGAGGAGGAGGAGGAGGAGGGGAGGGGGGGAGGAGGAGGAGGAGGAGGAGGAGGA